GCAAATGCAATAACATTAACGTTGTACATCAAGCGGAGATAGCGGTACACACACACACACACACACACACACACACACACACACACACACACACACACACACACACACACACTATTATATATATACTACTCATATCTGTCATATCTGGCTTAGAATCTCGGAGAAAAAATATCCCGACGCGTGCTAATAGCGTGGACCGCTAATTCGCATATAACTTACGAGTAGCACGGCCTGTCTTCTACGAGGTATCCGAGGACGAATCTCCGGCTTAAATGAATTAAACGCACGTACGCGAGACGCGCGCTACGCAGCGTTCGAATAGCCTATAAATAACACTACGAGCGAGCATATAGTGCGCCGTTAGGCCGGATTTGCAGCGAAGGCGCGGCTCCGATCGATCCGCGACGACGTTTCGCATATCGATAGGCCGGCGACCGATCTCGCGTGTAAATACCTTGATTAACGAGGTTCTACCTGATCGCAATCGAGTTTCCCCGCGTTCCAAACTCGTCTCGAAAGCATCGCACCCGATTCTCGAGCGCGTAATCTTATTGACATAAGACGTGTTTCCCGTGTTTCCCTCGCACATCGCCTTAGATCTCGTTGTTACGGAGCGAGGTGTTACTATTTCTCAAAATTCGTAATTCATATAATTCATATCATATAGGAGAAAACTTGTAAAATAATTTATAATTTATAATTTATAATTTATAATGATAAACAAAGCCCTTAGAGCTCTGTGTATAACGTGCACAACGATCTCGCTGCGTGAAATTCACTTTGACTCGTCAAAGTCACAGAAGGATGGTAACTCGAAGGGCCAGAGCCGCGCTAAATATAAGATTATATGACTGAACCCCGTGACTCCGTGCGCTTTTCGTAAGCGCCAGGAACAGAACTATATCTGCGTGTCCATCGAAAATAATTCCAGCCTTTAGGTCCGCGACGTTTCACGACTTTTCGTAGTAGGGGTTTAAGACGTTCACCACGGTGCCCGAGCCGCCGACACTCTCGGTCGAGAAAACGCGATCCTGGCGCGGGGCCAGGATCGCGACCATAGATCACCCGCGAAGAGTGTGTAGAGTTGCGAAAAATCACCTCGAGCTCGGCACGAAGTTCCACCGATGTCAATGACTGGATTATATGGCGCAAGCCATCGTAGAAATCCACGAGGGAGATGAACGTGAATGGCATTTCCACTTCTCATTGCCGACTGTAAACAGTAGCCACGATAATTCACCAGAAGATTATCTGTATCATTGCGCAGCAATGATCGCTGATAATGTTAAAATACGGTAATCTCTTAGTGTCCTTTTCTCTCAGTTATCTCTATCTTTCTTCTTTCTTCTCTTTTTTCATGGTCGCGTTTGAAACGCGTGCCATTCGCCGCGTAGTCTTTTGCGCCATATGGTTTCCTTTCCTCTCCACGTCGTTTCCTTGCGACAGCTCGTTCGACAAAGCGATAAATATTACAACTTGAGACCCCGTGAATACACCGCACGATTTTCGACGATTTCTGAGTCAAAGCTCGCCGTTCATACTTTGGACAACGAATAGAAGATAATTGCATCCGATCATCCGATCAATAGTATTAGCGAGTAGTATGTCGGTTTTAATGATTTAGGGTATAGATTCTTTGGAATCATAAAGATTACCAACAGCTCTCATTATGGAACGTCAATTTTCTGACGAGACGCGGGATTATCGTTCGGCAAATTATAAAGAGTCATCTTACACCGACACGCATATATCCGACGTAGAGAGAGATGAAGTTTGGCGTGGGTCTAATCTCTCGCCTTACCACATCACGCTGATCCGCTTTCGGCTCGTGCTTAAGCCGCCATTCTTTTACCACGTTTCGGCCTGCCCCCTCGTACCCACACGAGCTCCTTTCCGTCGTCGCGGTCTCCGTATTTCTTTTTCGAGTTCCGAGGGCAACGGGGAAACCGGGCAGATGTTCCCGGACACCGCTTAGCTCGCCTCATTACCACGAGTCACGTTAATGAGCTTGCGAACCTTAATTCTTCACCCAGCTTCGCCGACCCTTCTCCTCCTCTTTCTGCTTCCCGAGATTAAACCGACCGAGACGTCGCGTGTCTGCCCGGCGATCGTTGAATTATCGCCGCCGAAATTTCGAGGAATTCACATTTATTTAATAATTCTGATTACAAGTCAGTTACTTCCGTTCCACGATTTTGTAGTGGGTTTTTCCTTTGAATTTTGTATTTAGAAGAAAATCTTAGAGGATTAATCCAAATCACGCTAACCTACGCTTTGTTTTAGTATAGATTTAGAAAATAACGAACGAAATAATCGTGGAAACGCTAAAAAAATATATTTCAAGAAATTAAGATTGAGATCGAGTATTATCGAGTGATCAAGAAAGAATGAACGAGCTGCTGATCGTAAGAATTTCAAGATCTCTGGGTTCCTCCCAGCGAACGGGTCGTAGATAAAGATAGATGCGTCGGTTTCCGGCGTGTCGAGTTAACGACTCGAATTTTATCTGTCGGTGGGGGCTGTTTCGACGGGGACGGAAGGCCGTGGCAACGAGTGGAAGAGGAAAGTAACGGATGGAGACGAAGACGTCACGTGCACGAGACGAAGAGATCAGATTTTGAGGGGACGGAAACAAAGAAGAGTGTAAATAAGAGATTCGGCAAGATAAAAGAAAAGACAAAGGAAAATATAAAATATAAATTTTCCCTCATTACATGCACGCATTTCTAATATAAATTTGTCAATCGGTTTAAAAAATAATCTAAATAATTAAAAATGCATAGTGAGAATCATTTTATATCGCTATCTATTATTTTAGATAAAGTAAAAGTAAATTATAAAAATGCACTTTTTGCAAGAAATATTTTACTTCTATAATTTTTAAATTTTATATTTTTCTTTTCACTGAACAGAATAAATTAGGTATGTGTTCCGTGGATATTTTATTTTAAAAACTCGCAGAGTGTGACAGACGCTTAAAAGTCGAGGCTGCAAAGGGAGAAGGAAGAAAGTAATAGAAAAGGAAAGAAGGACAGCAGCCAAGAGGCAGAACCATATCTCGAGTCATCTGGCAGTCAGTGAGATTGGAAATAGACACAGCTCGCTCCTTCTCTCTTCATCTTCCTTCCCTTTCTTCTCTCTTTTCACAACAGGAGCTCCCAAGCTCTGTCTCTCTTTCGACCATTTTTCTCTCGGTGCGAAAAAAAAATGGAGACTACAAGTATGCCAAACCCGGCGAACTCGGCGATGTTTTCATTGTACGGTGTCTCCGGTCCCTCCCGCAATTCTCTTTTAACCTTTTTACGAAATCCGCTGCTAAGCAGGCTGTCAAAGCACTCTAATTTTTGTCCTGGCGTGGACGCTTTACTAGGAAATGGTTAAATCATTAGGATGAATTTATTCTCGCTTCTCTTGATTTAAAATGTTTATATACTTTCATCGTTTTTACACAAATTAATTATTATCATTTCGCAACACTCTTATTTATTAATTTATGATTTGTGATGTTTGGTTCAAAAGTGCTACTACTATAAGAAGTTTTTGCATCTTTCTCTCCTGTTAGAGATACGAGAACGATGCGGAATTGAGAGATCCCTCGACTTGTCAACGAGTATCGCGACAAACGTTTTAACACGTTCGACCACTGTAAGCGGGCAGCCAACAGGCAGTAATCAAAATCCGTGGACACTGAGCAAAGTCAAACAGCCGACCCGGTTGTCTTTACTCAGCAAACTCGTGGAAGCGCGGAGCCAATATTTAGACAGCGACCGACTCAAACATCGTAATCCTCCTTAAAACGTTGCGACACGCGCCAATCGTGCATACCTATGTCCCTATTCCGTACAACCATGGGGTGCTATTTACTTTAGCATTGGTAACGCATCATAATCATTCGGCTAATTAGAAATATTTATCTTGCGATTATCCTTTATCTTGTGATATTAGAACCTTTTTACTTTGAGACCTTCTTTCCGTTTGGTTGCAAAATTCGATTAAGGAAACTTTCTATTCTCTCGTCACTTCGAAGAGAAGCGTTTAATTTTCGTCTTAATAATATGAATATATATCTATCTTAGTTATTGTGCGATTTGATTATCTTTCAATCTCAAAAATCTCAAACTTGACGTAGATCGCTGATCCATAAATTTTTATGATCAATTACGAAACATTTATGAAAAATTTTAGAAAAAGATCAATATATGAACCTGAAAAAAAATACTTTTATAATAATTTCTAATTTATATTTGTCAAAGTATTCAAAGAATCTACTATTATGCATATTGGTTTATAAATTTAAAATGTGCATTGATTTAGTATTGTAATTAATATATTTAATATTAGGAACGTAAGTGCATATTTCTGAAACTGTTTTAAAGATACGATTCTCTTGCATGACTCCTGTTAGTAGGGGTTGAGTGCGGAAGAATCTGCATGTCGAAGGAAGAGAATCTTTGAAGGTACCGGACACGCATCGTTTCTCGATGTTTCGAGCGTGGCGAATTGCCATCATTCAAAACGAGACGCGTTGCCTCTCTCGCAGCGGTTTGTTTCCTCTCCTCTGGACCACGTTCCTCCTTTCCTCGAAGCGAACGAGCGCGCGTATTGTGACGTCAGTGAGGATGACAAACAAAAACGCATTATCCTATCCCGCGGACAAAGTTATACTTTGATCGTATGACCGTGCCATTGATGAAAGACACCTGTCTGCGTCAAAAAGCGACGCGAATAGGAGCTTTGACGAAGAGACACGCACCATTTGTCGTGTTCACGAAGTGTGTCGTAATTTCATCCGTCAAACAAGAATACTTTTCTTTCTCCCTTTTCGCTATAAATCATAAGCGTCTCTAGAAATACATTTCGTTAATGAGAATTATCATGCACGGGACAGAAAACGACATTTAACATGATCTATTACCAATTTCTGTAAATGGATTTTGCTCCTTTAATAGCTACCGAGGAATATTTTTGACTGATTTTACATTCATATTTGTATTTTTCAGATTATCCGGTAGCACAACAGCGATCGGAACACCTGGTAACGGCAGCGGAGGTGGCGGCGGAAGTGGCAACGGGGGTGGTGGAAGCACGGGAGGCGGTGGAGGTGGAACTGCCGGCAACGGAACTTCCGGTGATTTTCTACGTAGAAGTCATCCCCTTGCGGAACATACGACGCTACATCCCGCTTACCGGATCAACTACATGGACCACCTCTATCATCAACTCCAGGCCTCCACGCACAGTCCCAACGCCTCACTACACGGTTATTATTCTTTATGTATATATTATACACACTCGCGCGCACACGGATAAAAGTGCTCGTGAAGAACACAGCACAAGAACTATCCGTTACCTCTTCTTCACCAACGACGAATCGGAAGACTCCGTAAAGGGGACCCGCATTTCCGCCGGAAGTCTCTCTTCTAGCGTACAAAGGCGCTCCGAACCCGATTCATCGCGCGTGATGTCATCTGTGTCGTAGTAATAAGCTTCACTTCCCTCTTCGAATGACGACTCGTCTTAGGATGACGTTCGTTTTATTACCTTGGTTCATCCGCCACTGTGTCTTACTTGAATATTATTTTTTTCTATTTTCAGGACTGGGTGGTTTGGGGCCCGAATACCTCTTACACGCGGCAGGTCCTGCCAGCACCCTCGCATCGTCCGAATTCCCGTTTTCCATTGATGGTAAGTCCAATAATATATATCCTCTCTTTAATGTCCACGCTGTGTGTGTGTGTGACTGAGTTATGTGTGCCGTGGCTAGCCATAGGTGTGGTGGCACTACCGGCAGGTAGGAGATCGACTGGTTAAGAGGCCGAGAGGCCTCTAAAAGACGACCGAAAGGGTAAACGGGGCCTCGTTAGCCGCCACCGCCGCATAATTGAATCGACTCGGAGCGACACGACCTCATTAACACCTTAGCGCCTACCCTACAGGTTGTCTCACATTTTCCTTTCCCGCCCTCTTTCTAACTTAATCTTTTTACTATGCACAATTTTCACGTATGTGTATATGTATTCGTATCGTAATCGAACACTGAAATTTTCTATCCAAATATTTTAATGCCGAAATATCCATGTATTTAAAATATTAAGTCTTTCGTGAAAAAATGTTGTAGAAAAGTTAATTTCAAAACAAAAACTAAACAAAAACTATTTAAATAGCAGAATATAATAGGTAATATTGAGTAGACAGAATTTAGAATATACAAAGCATATCATAATTAATATTTAAATAATAAAAATTATTTAGATATTGATTATAATATGTTTTTATGTATATTTATATATATTCTATAAATCAATTTGAAATATACAAAGCGAATATTATTTGAATTGTAACGGTCGGTTTTCAATTTAGTACGCGAGTTGAACGATTTGAAAAGCGCTGTAGCCACCGTAGCATGCTTCGCGTGGTAGCATCGGGGTAGCCACGCCGATCGGAGTGGACGATTGCACCAATTTACATGTCTCAATCCCATGTTCGACCTGCACGCGCGAGGAAGCGAAGAGAAGAGCTGGAACTTATCGAACGTGTCGGGATCCTGGAACTCATGGGTGAAGAGTACCCTGTTACAACGAGCCAGGGATGAGCGGAGAGAAAGAATCGGGAAGGAGGATCCGCATATTCATTAAAGTCAGCGACAATTGCGCGATGCGATGCGAACCGGATGTGGTGAGACCAATCCTTTGGTCTCGGCGGATAAGATAATCGATTCATGTCGCGAGACAGCGAAATCTGATTATTCGACTATTGTTGTAAACTTTTTTATATGTATTTTAACCAATATGATAAATTTTTAGGAAGTGACATAATTGCGAATATCAAACTAGATCGGACATAACGTCTAAAGCAATAAGCATAAGTTTGCGAGAAAGCAAGTATGTGTGAGCCATAAATCGTTCATTGAGCAAGCAATTGTCCTACGTCATGCGAAAAAACCGCACGATAATTAAGCCACTGGTTTTCGTTCCGTCGCCGTTGACCACCGTAAATTTGATCATTGACCGAATTAATAACCGATGAAGAGGACAAAGCGGAGACCTTCGTGCGGGTTGGCGCGACGTGACAAGAAGAAGGAGAAGAGCAGGTTTCGCAAATAAAAAAAAAGAAGGTGAGCAAAGGGGATCTCCAACTGCGAGTAACTCTATACCCGTTGTGCGCGAACGAGCGATCAACCGAGTGGAAATCGAGGAGAAGGGTGGGCTTGCTTCTCGTGCTCGTCTTCTGTATATCGCGTTGCTCCTCGCATAGAAGAAGGAGAAAGAGCAAGAAGAAAAGGGCGAAGATGAGGAGAAAAGACAGAAAGAATAACGGAAGAAAAAGGGGTACGAAAACGAGCACTCGCGGCTTAATCTCGCGAAGGTAGAGTAAGAAATCGGGTTGGGGGAGGACAGGATGATAGAAAGAGAGAGTTTACCGTGTCGAGAGAAAGATGCGAGAGCGTAACCGCCACCATGTAACCAGCGATGGTAGGTACAAGCGAGCCGCCACCACGCTCTTAAGAAAGTGGTTTGTATAT